CGATTATTTGAAACTTGAGTTGAGTCTTCATTGTTGAAATCACTTTGTGAATCGTTGCCAATTATACATTCAGCAATTGGTGGGTCTTCATTCCATTCATCGTGTGTAGTCTGTTCGATTTTGATCGATGTTGGATCACAGCTAAAACTATCCACAAAAATCTCATCGTTTACAATATTTTGTTTATCATCTTGATGGTCTGATAAAAAATGAATTTCCAAGTTCGGCCCCGACTCAAATTCACATTGGCATTTGTTACAGCAGTAAATGAATGTGCTAAATTCATTGAGCAGCAGAAATCCACATGCCTGATTCATTTGATCGATGGATTTTTTTGAGATAATGTTGTGCCGTTCATCTGTTGTTGCTCCTTCATCGTTTCACCACGTATAGACCCCAATGTAAACTGTTCGGAAACATGTGCCATCGGACTTAGCTTCCTTGTTACTTTTCCGCACACCTAGTGTAGGGAAGGTATTGTATTAGGCCAAAAAATTAAAGTCATCCCAAAACATGTTTTCTATGCATATTTAATGTAGAAAACACGATTGGAGATGATTTTGGGGCATATTAATGTGCGTCGCTGTGTGTGATGTGTCCTGTGTCCTGTGGCGTGTTGCCAAAATTTGTTAACTCGATAAATCTTTTTCCAAAAACTCAATTCAAATTCTGACTTTGCAGGATGATTTGGGACTACTAGGAGACGTGCTGATTAGTTTTTGAGCAATATCTGTTGACCGGTGTAATTTTTTTGGGTCCGAATGGACACAATCCATACATTTTACTTTTTTGATCATTTTTCAACCATTTTGGTGACACGATGGTTTCGTGCTCAGACATGAAATTCAAAATCTGACTTTACGGGATGATTGGGCGTTACGAGGAATAGATCTGGTCAAATTTTCAACGACATTGATTGATCGATGTAAAACTTAGACTGTGAAGAGGCACTTATGAGAAAAATGCCTTAAAATGATATTCTTTCAATTTGAACGCTGAAAGACTGTGTAGTGGGGGTTTTTTGGCACGAGAAACCCGATTCGGGTTAGTTGATGTTAGTTTTAAGATGCAATCAATTTTTAACAGACTTTTCATACAAAAATCGAAAAAAAAATTCATTTTTGTATGAAAGACTTGCCTTTGTGGTACTGTAATGATGTGAAACTTTGAACAGGCTATTTTTTGAATTGAAATTTCTTCAGACTTAGTATGATTATTTATTTTGATAAGAATATAATATTCACAAGTTTTCACGGTAATTTAAGTTACTGCAACCATACATAGACCATCATTTCTGTTTATTCCCAAAATTTCGATTCCATGCGGAAAAGTCAGCTTGCGTACGTAAGCCTCTTTATTTCATAATGTGTTTAATTTTACTTGAAAACATTGTATAGTAGATGATTGTGATATAGGTGATTAGAATATTTTTAGCAGAATTTCATTGATTGCGTCTGACCTCTGAATCAATAATGCAATTTTTTTATATGCCACTGTTTGGGTAATGAAAGAGAAATAAATTAAATAAAGTAAGGAATTTTTTTTAATTATTTATTGATTTTTACTTGATTGGAAAAGGAAGCTGCAATGATACATTTCGATAAAGGTCCATTTAGTAAGCTTTACCAAAGTGAATGTGCCACCATAAGAAGTTTGAAGAGTAATGATTTTTTTTTATTTCGTTCATCAATCATTCTGGCAGCGAATTGACGCACATTAGTGCGGAACGTGAACGTTAAACTCTTTGAGTTCGGGTAGATTACAATCGATATAAATCATTTGCTGCTGTGATATGTTTTGAATATGTAATTTCTCCAAAAATTTCAGCTTTGTTATACTTCGTATGTCACTCCAATTATATAACATATAATCGTGAGATAGCAATTCAAGGCTCTCAATGCGCACATCATTGTTGGCAAATCCCTCTAATAATTGGTTTAAAGGAACCGCTTCTCCAGAAAAATTTCCAAATTTGAAAGTTTTTAAATGTTTCAACTTGCATAATTCAATCAAGTCGTCTGAGTTCTCGTAAATTTCGCACAGGATTTCCAAAGATTCGAGGTTTTCTCCACAATTTCCAATATATTTAAAAATTCTTGGAGAAGCCATCTCAGCTACTACCAATCGTTTCAACTGAGGATTATATACTAGAAATTCAGCTATTTCCTCAGTCGTTAAGCCATGCTCATAAAAACCACATTCGATTAAATTTGGAAAATGGTGTATCATATCGAATTTGGTGTTTTTATCAAAGATCAAACTAATCAATTTCAAATTTATATAAAAATTTAAAATCATATATTCACCAAATGATACATTTTCGATGGAAACAAGAGTGTTGTCATCCATTTCATAATTGGTCGGACCATTTTGATTATCCACAAAAATGCGTAGATATTCCTTCACTTCATTCTCACGCAGAACATTGTCTCCTTGTTCAGAATTACTAATGCGTAACGATGTAAACCGAGTTGGATAGGCTGCAATTGCGTTATCTTGAAATTTATCGCACGTTTTTGCTACATTCAAATAGTCTCGGACGTTGGGTATTTTTCGAAGAATTCTTTGGATGCTATTGTTGTCTAGCTCATCACAAATATTTTTGGGCACATGTTGTACGATTTGAATGCTTGCCTCGAATGTCTCCGGTTCATTTGGCATGCGATAAATATCCGATAGACCAAGCACTTCCATAATGCTAAAAGCGAGAAAGGTTACATCATCCGTGTAAATTAGTTTAAGGTATTCCTTAAACTGGTTCGGTGACACTTGTGGTATTCTCAATTCAAGTACACCATTTGCATCGGATTTTTCACAATACATATTGAAGAATACAGGGTTTGTCTGGGAAAAAACCAGTTTATGGGCTGGTATGCGTTCTTTTTCAATACCGCACACAAAATACATGTCGGCAGTGCCCTTGTCCAAATACAAATTCCGCCATTTCTTCGATGCGAAAGTATTACTCTCCGAACCCGATTTCTCTGAAACTTTTTTGGATGATGCCATTTTTTTAGGATACACAAAATTGATGATTTTTTAACAAAAATGACTATTTCTGAATTTAATTTGAAGAAAAATGACGAATATTCACTTCGATTTAGATGTTTCCACTTTAAGAGCAGAGATGTAACTGAAGAAATCAAAGGATGCATCCACTTTTATACCCAACTCATGAATAATATAACTCATTAATAAATAGTAATTATAACTGACGTCATTAGTGATGCCAACTATGGTAAACTATTTGTACTAGATTTTGGATCTATTACTGATTGTACCGAAATTATGCCTAAACTGTCACACTGCTAGCGCCACGGCGGAATTCAGTGTAATCTACACTAACTCTATAGTTTTCCATAGTGGCGCTGACAGTGCTACCACAGCAATGAAACGACAACAACAATAACACGTATTTTTAGTGTCAAAATTTTGAGTCAGAAAGGTGTCGATATTAGTGGTAGTATTTTAAAACACACTTTGTAAGTCATTTTCATCGTATGTTTGCAAATTCGATCTAGATTGACGGTTGCAAGTATTCTTCAAATCATTTATTTCCACTAGCGTGGACATGGATTGTGTGTTTCTTCTGTTACACGTACGTTATAATAGACAAGTATAGTAACATGGCATCGTTCAAATAAATTTAAAAATCCAATCACCACTGTCGCCACCAGCTATTTAGTAGTAGCTTTCATTGCTGTGAGTGCTACAGTTTTGTATTTTATACAGTCTCTTATAGGGGATAATTTCAGTATGTTACTGATACTGAGTTTGAAAAAGAATGGAAAGTACATTAGAGAAAACCTGACACATTAAAATATTTTCATGAAAAAAACCTGGTATTTGTATGAGAGTACGTTTGGATATTCAACTCACGTTCTATCTTTCATACATGAGCACGATCGGAAAGTTAAGAGGTCGCTTAGAATCAATTAAAATTCATACAATGTAAATAGTTAGACTATCTGTCTATCTTCGCAAATGGCAATTACTTCTTCGCTCGGAGGCTGTCTATGTCTAACATAACAATGGTGTCATTGTATGAAATGAATATTTCACAAGCAAAAAACAAAATCGCAGCCGTGACTACAAAAATTTAAACTAATTTCAAACAATGATTCAACATCAACAAATTATCCCAATTTATTTGATTCAAAAGTTTTTTTATTAAAACATCCAAAACACGATGATATCAAGTAACATTGACAGCAGCGAAACCAAAAATGGCACAAATTTGGGTCACTAAACACAGATGACCGTAGTAGCTAATGCAGCTGTTATTATCGCCGTGCTTTGAAAACATCGTGATAAAAACTCAATCAGTTTTTTTTTCGGTTCAATATTTTTATTCAGAAAATATAATTTAGTAGTTAAATTAAAATGGTTTATAAAAAAAATGTATAAAATATGAAAAATCAAGTTAAAGTGCGAAGCATCAAAAGTTGTGACAAAATATCTTCTAAACCCTATGTCAAACGAATTACTTCCTTGCCGTGGCGTCTTCAATATTTCCATTAATATTGATGAATTGCATCGTATCTATGATTGATATTCCGTATTTACCGTTATCGTCTTCACATTCGACACGGTCGTGGAATTCCATATTAATATCACGTCCGTCCATTTTCGTGTTCATTTTGCGGTATTTTTTAATTGAATAGCTAGTATTCGGTGGTGGAGTTTGTTTCATGATAATTCGATATAAACATTTCGGTTTAATAAAAATCAATTTGGATAGAGTAATGAATGGTTTTAAAATGGTATTCTCTTTTTCCAAGACGATTTTTTCGCTCAAATCAAATGTATTGATTTCGAAAATGGTTATTTCGGTCGGTATAACCAGTTCTTTGTCACCAAGATATGAACACCCAAATGCGGAGAAAATGAGCGGTTTATCACTAGAGAATGTGGTCGTTTCAATGTTTTTAATTACGAAATCAGTCGCATCAACATTTATCGATGTGTGATTTCGATTACAATGGACTACGTCTTGATTCCTTTGGCATAAAATGGGTTTCGTCGGTATTTGACGTGAATTGCAAAAATTGTATGAATGAAATTCGCCGGGCACCGTTTTCTGAAGAATGATTTTAAATTCATCGGGCGTAAATAGTTCGGTATATTCAACCATGATATTGCCAATGTCTTTGAATGGCATCGATCCAAAACGAATTTTATAAAATAAATCGCCCATATAAGCTTTCACAATTTTCCCTGTCAAATATTTCCTTTTGCTAGCCGTTTTCACCCATGTCATGCACGCTTCAAATAACTCAATTTCAGGGCAACACAATGTTTCATTCATATCGAGAATTTCACTCAATACATCGCGACTGCAGTCTTTAAAACTATCGGATGCAAACACTGCCTGCGAGTTGAAACCAATGATCATTTCACAGAATTTTTTCAACTCTTCATTGCCACAGCTGATCGCTAATCCATACAGATAACATACATTGTCGTCATCGATGATTGATTTCAGAAATTTTCCGCACACAACCGCACACTCATCCATGTCGTGTTTCTTGCAAAGAAGCATGACCTTCGCAGCATTTTCTTTGGTTAACTTTACTTGTTTTAAGTAGAAAAATTGCAGAAATTCTTTATACACAGCAGATGACTCATCAGTGATTTTAATCTCTTTTTGTCCTTTCCACAATCCACCGAACATCGTTTTGAAAACTTCACTACCTGCGGAGAGCAAAAGTTCGTGCACCGGAATTCGATCACTCGAATCGAAGACGAAGTGAAAATCGTTTATTTTTGTATTCAAATATAGGCTTTCGGAAACTTTGGCGAAAAATCCACTTTCAATGATAGCCGATGAATCAATGGTTTGTTTTGTCGCTGGATTATTCACAAGTTTAATAGTTGACATGATGGCATTTACAATATCGGTGGATGACATGATTTTAATTCTGATTAAAACTGATTTTTGGTGAAATTTCGTGGAAAATAACCTGAAATTAGAGGAAAATGTTTTGAAAATTGATCGAAGAAACATTTTTATTGCGTAAAATCGGTGCAAAAATTGAAGTTTTTTACCTTTTAAAATTTGAAATTGAACAAAAAAACTAAAATTGATCGAATTTTCACGTTGAAAATTTTCGTTTCTGAACTTAAAAAAAGACCTTTTATGTCTGAATATATCTAACAACTAGTCTAATTTTTGTTAGTCTACTTGCTGAAACTCAAATTTTTGTTTTATTTTAGTTGATGAAGAGGCGGAGCTAATGCGTAAATATTCGTCGAAACAAACAACAAATGAATAAGACAAATGGACGTGTTTTTTGGACAATTTTGTTTCGCAAAAATGTGGCAATATTCTTAGGAATACTTCGAGCTCACATATTTTCAATCGAGTTTTTCTTTCTAAATTTCAACATATTTGTTTGCTGAGATGGTAAAAATATATAAATTATCTGGAAATTGGAGTGATTTGATAAGATAAACCGAGAGAAACACACAGAGAGAAAGATAGAGAGAGAGAGAGAGAGAGAGAGAGAGATTATGCGTACAAAAGAACGAAAGCAAAAGTAAAGATGGAAAGACGGAGATACGCTATTTTTCTCGAGTACAAGTATTTTCAAAGAAGTTCAAAAAGTTACCTTCTTTAAAGAAGGTTAATTAACCTTAGACCCGTACCTCGGGTCAAATTGACCCGAGGTGTATTCTTTTGCACATTAAACATACAAAAAATCAAAAATATAATCAAATATCGTTTTTGTATGTATTGGTGCTTTATCTTTGTAAACACAGTGAAAATATTACAAATATGTGACAAATGTGTATGGGCGGCCGATATGTAAATGGCCGACCGGCCTCCCTTTATTATTCACCAATGACACCATGACAATTTTGTATTTTATAAGAACAAACAGGCGCCAATTGATAGTTTATTTTAAGGCCTTTCCAACGATATTCAAATACCAACTGTAAGTCAAGGGGTTGAGCCTCAGTGGCCGTAGGAAAATTGGCCATTATTAAACATTGAAAGGCCGGCCACGGCCAAAATTGCGGCAGGATCAAAAAGTCGTAGAACAAAAAATGTTTAGCTTATCTTGTACTTTCAGGGATTAAGTTTGAAAAAGATCGGACTCAACTAAGTATTACGCATATGTAAAAATACACATGTGATACATAAAAGTATGTACATATGTGATGCACATACTTATGTGAAAATGTGATACTTGAAGTATTAATGTATATTGATATATAAGTATCAGTATCATAGAAATAAACTTGATCATTCATGAAATAATTGAGCTAGTTTTTAAAAAAATGACTGATTTCCATACAAAATACACTATGGGTCAATCTGACCCATAGAGACGGGATTAAGTTGTAAACACCACAGACGGGTCTAAGGTTAATGATTAAAGATTGTCTTTCATATTTCGAAAATATTGTGCCAAAAGGTTATTAAAAATAAAACATACAAAACTTTATTATGATGTTTTTCTTCGATTCTAAGCCTAGCGAATGTAATAAAAAAGTCATTGCTATGAGCCTACATAAAAGGAAAGATGGGTAAATAATAAATATTTGAATTACTTTTTGCAAGTGTATTGTTTTGGGCTTTGGCATCATTTACAGAGACTTTTGGTTTTAGGTTTAATGATCGACTTAATAATATAAGAAGAGAAACAAACAAAAAAACTTGCATTTTTGTGTTTCGATAAACCTTTTTTTTTTCAATTATTCTTACAAAAAACTTCTGAAGTACCTGGAAGGTAAGCTATAAATGACAATTTTAAGATTAAAAAACGAAGAAATTATTTAAACAAAAATAATAAACCTTGAGGACCAAAACAGCTTTTATCTTCGAAAGAGGAAAAAAACAATCAAATAATAAAAATAAATAAAGAGGCTTACATACGCAAGCTAACTTTTGCGCATGGAAACCGAAATTTTGTGGAATAAACTAGTGATTAAACTTCTATCAAGTAAACGCAGACGCTGGCTATGAATATGATTTTGGTTTAAACATATCATCAAAAAATATTGACATTTTACACATGGCACATTTCATTCCATTCATTGCAAAAACCAAATTTATCAGCTTCTTTGCTCCAGACGAAACGTCTCTAATTTTAGTTTTTCTTTGCGGTATGATCTGATCACAAACAAAATGCAAAATGAATATATGTTTGGTTTGATTTAATCAGTGAAAACTTATCAATCTTATTTTCTTATCAAAATACATAATTTCACCAAATTTTAAGAAATTTCAATCAAAAATAAGGGTACTCATCATGTAAAAGTTTCAATTTTGGCTCAATTATCAGCAAAAGAAAGCAGTCAATTTCTCTTATCTGTTTTTATTTTTTTAAATAAATGAATTAACCAGAAACGAACACATATGAGACGAAAAATAGAAAATTTACTGTAGAAAGTGAGAAGATAAAAACGGTAAAATTGATGCTTCAAAAGCTGGCTGAAAAGATGCGGAAAAAAGTGAATCAGAAGGATTCATGAAAAAACCTGCTTTGATTGCAACCAGATAATCTTATTTTTAATTTTTAATCGCAAAATAGTAGGCAAAATGGTAGCTGTTGTCCTCATTCTTGGTGCTCTTGCTGTTGGTAAGGCCATTGATCTTTTTTGTCACTTGCTTTACGTTTACCACTTCCTTCATCACTTGATTAATCGTCTTTGCCACTATCCCAGCTTCCACTACCTGCGCCTCTATTATCACTGCCATCTTTGCTGTTGTCTCCATTATCGCTTCCTTCATTATCATTTGAATGATCATCTTTACCACTATCCCAGCTTCCACTACCTACACCTTTATTATCACTGCCATCATTGCCGTTGTCTCCATTATCGCTGCCTCCATTACCACTGCCTCGCTTATCAATGCTTCCATCTGCAAAATATTTTTAAAAAATTCCATCGAAATATTTAGTACATTGAAGTTTTTTATAGATTTGAAATTCAATAGTTCAAATAAATTTGGAAGCAAAGTGAATATTGAATTATTTAATTTTATATTTTTCCACATTTTTTCTTAAAGGTAAAATATAATTAGAAATGACCTGGAGAAGCAACACAAACTACGACGATGAGAACTACGACGAATAATGAGAATTTCATTTTGATTTCGAATTTGACTATTTCAAGTAAATGATTTAAGTAGAATTGAAAATTTAATAACTTTCTCTTTCATTGCACCGTATTTTATGGAAAACAAAACCACATGCAGATATAGAATGATGTAGCTCAAATGCAAACAGAGATGGCAAAGGCGCACTGAGCAATGCCCGCATCGCAACTGTGTTTACGTGCGTTAAACATGCTCAGTGCATGTAAAACGACCAACATCTGTTGATATTTTTACAGGTGCGCTAGAGCGCACTCAAGAATTTCTGGTTTTTGTATTCCTTCTACCTTATATTTTTGGCCGGTTGCATACTTTTATTGAATATTTTGCCCGGTGGGCGCTGGTAAAGCACTTTTTGTATGGAAATATTTGTTGAAAATTCAACAATACGCCACCTATTGAAGACCATAAAGATTTTCGTTACTACTGCTGTGTTGACACAGCTCTAGCGAACTATATAGCTATATTGCAAACGTATTAGTACTGAGCACACGACTGCGATTCTGTGTATGCGTGTGTGTTGTAAATTTTGCACAAGCAACTACGGTTGACAACTGAGTGCAGAATTTGCAATACAAACGGACACACAAAATCAGAGTCAGTGTGTTCTTTAGTAACAAAAATCTTTATGTTTTTTAATAGATGTCATTTTCGTTGAATCTTCAACAAGAAATCTTCGATACCAGGGCCCACCAATTTTGCCCATCTTAACGATAAATCTATTACTTACGTATTAATGTTTAGAATAACATATATTCAAAACTATAAAGGATCGAGTACTATCTGTCAAAATATTTCCCCCTATGCCAAGCGAAATTAATTCGATATACGGCGCTGATCTAAATGTCACTCTGTCATTTTACAATAATACTTTTTTGGCTTGACAA